AAAATGTTAAACATGGCAATGTTGCTGTCTTGGTCTCAATAAAGCCATTCAATAATTAGTTGCATGTCATGATTTATGCACTATTTCATTGTGTTATAATGAATCCCAAGCACTGCTACGACTAACCCAGACCATGGAGTAAATTGTAACACTTCACTCCTTGTATTTAAGACAACACCATGCATTTGCGGTTTGATTTACATACAGTATATAATAACCACACCAATTTGTAAAGGACAGGTGTAGGTTTGTATCAAGTTTTGAATACACTACCATAAACAATCTCTTGAGAAACTGACGAAAAGGTGAAAAGTGTTACAACCATCCCCGGTCTCCCCTACATTTCACTAAAGGACTCATGATTTAAAGAAATGACAGTTTATTGAAGGAAGTGAAAGGATGCTTCATGGTCCCTTCCTTCCTCATTGGGGAGCAGGAGACAAGATCTTCCTCTCGTGGTGGTGTTAGACACGGGTCCCTGTGGGCTACAGCACGACTCAGTTAGCCATTGAGATTTGGTTGTTGAGTGTCAGTGGTCATACGTCTATCTAGGCTAGATCTATTCTAGATCTATATATGCCTACATCCCAAATGACACCCTATTCACTTTGTAGTGCTCTATCTTTGACATAGGGTCCCCCGTCAAACGTAGAGCACTAGATAGGGAATAGGGTACCATTTGGGATGCAACCATCTCTCTATTTGGCTCTCTGTTTTAAAAATGGTACCTAGACTTCTCAAGAGACTCCTCTGGACCATTTTCCTCAATCTTCAAAATGTATTCAGACATTTTCAGAATAGAGTAGTCTGAAGATAAACATATTTATCTTAGTTCCACAATTCAATTAAATATTAATGCATTTTCAGGTTTACAGAAATGGTATACATAGGCCTAGCTAATAATATTGCCAAACTTTTCTTTGACATCCTTGTGGGTGTTCATCTTCAAAGTGCGCTGTTAGCAACACTTGAAGAGGGAGCTGCAAACGCAGGCAAAACCGTAGTTTATATAAAGCCTTGAAAACTCAGGCGGTAACAGGGGTGGTACGTGTGGCAAGCGAAGCAGCAGAGAAAAATTGCCCGCACGTGCCCATCCCTCCCCGAATCTGCCCTCAGCTTTACATAGAAACCAATGGAGGGCCCCGGCGTTTTCCTCGTTGATTACTTTAGGCTCTGAGACTGACTTGGCCTCACGATGTCTGAGCGGGTGTCCTGGCTGAAGTGACAGACCGACTGACTGACTCTGTGATGAACCACTTACTTCAGAACTCCTGCTATTCATGTTCATATGACATTATGTGGACCAGATTACGTCATAAGTGTAAAAACATGCCTGATGCAACGGTTGCAATGGTTTTCTACCCTTTCTGATTCAACACATGAATATTTTAACTCAAACAAGTGGCAGTAGGCCTACAAAGTCAAAATATAAGACTGCTGATATAATACAGTACCTTTTTAATTTTGTTCCTCATGAATGCATGACAGTTCTTCTGTGTGATTCAGTTTTTCTGCATGTAGTCAGCAGTAGTACGCATACATTTTTGCAGTTTGGGCAAATACTTCCATCTTGTGGCTACAATGAAGCAGCACTGTATGGTCAATTACATTTGTAATTCAACTTCAGCTTATTAGTGATGATTTTTACACCACAGCATATAATTATTTTACCTTGAGTACCATAGTGCTGTGCATATATTTAAAGCTAGAATCCTTAGTTGCTACATCCATATTGGACTTAATGATATATATATATTAACGATATATACCAATTGATTCTTGAATAATATAACTTATGCCTCATGAGTTAAGTTCAACTTTCGTACTCCATCAGAAACCAAAATATAAGCTTGTTTTACTCCAATGTTTGTAAACAGTGTAAATGTAAACAAACACTATAGCCTCTAAACATGGTTACAACTATAATTCATTGATCAGTCCTTGCATCCGTAGCCTAGCGGTTAAGCGCGTTGGGCTGGTAACCGAAAGGTCGCTGGTTAAAATCCCCGAGCCGGCAAGGTGGAGAAATCTGCTGTTCTGCCCTTGAGCAAGGCAGTTAACACCAAACAACAACTGCTCCCCGGGCGCCGATGACATCGATTAAGGCAGTCCCCACACCTCTCTGATTCAGAGGGGTTGGGTTAAATGCAGAAGATACATTTGCATTCAGTTGTGCAAATAACTAGCTATCTGTCCCCTTTCCCTATGAATTTGAGAGTGGTTACATTTCTCCAGACCCATCCCTCAGCATTTTACCAAAACAGAGGCAGGGTGTACACTTTGTTATTGTTTCAATTAAGGACTCCAGCTTTAATCAAATGTCTACTGTAATTGAGAATAATACAAAACAAAGTAAAAAATCATGCCCTACAGGGTTTGGAATTATTTTAAAAATATTAACTTTTATTACTCTATGCAGCAATATACAGTAAAATAAAGCAACAGGTCAAAAAGCTAGAACGTTTAGTTTTTTCCCATCTTTCTCTGACAATTAACAACAACATACTTATCACCAGAAATGGATAAATACATGTTAAAAAAATACCAGAACATTACTGATAATAACATTTACAAAATATATACAGTACCAGTCAAAAGTTTGGACACACCTACTCATTCAAAGGTTTTTCCTTATTTTTACCATTTTCTACATTGTAGAATAATACATCTAAATATATTTGAGATTTGAGATTTTTCAAATAGCCACCCTTTGCCTTGATGACAGCTTTGCACACTCTTGGCATTCTCTCAACCAGCTTCATGAGGTAGTCAACTGGAATGCATTTCAATTAACAGGTGTGCCTTCTTAAAAGTTAATTTGTGGAATTTCTTTCCTTCTTAATGTGTTTGAGCCAATCAGTTGTGTTGTGACAAGGTAGGGGGGGTATACAGAAGATAGCCCTATTTGGTAAATAACCAAGTCCATATTATGGCAAGAACAGCTCAAATAAGCAAAGAGAAACAACAATTCATCATTACTTTAAGACATGAAGGTCAGTCAATACGGATCATTTCAAGAACTTTGAAAGTTTCTTTAAGTGCAGTCGCAAAAACCATCAAGCGCTACGATGAAACTGGATCTCATGAGGACCGCCACAGGAATGGAAGAGCCAGAGTTACCTCTGCTGCAGAGGATAAGTTCATTAGAGTTACCAGCCTCAGAAATTGCAGCCCAAATAAATGCTTCACAGAGTTCAAGTAACAGACACATCTCAACATCAACTGTTCAGAGGAGACTGTGTGAATCAGGCCTTCGTGGTTGAATTGCTGCAAAGAAACCACTACTAAAGGACACCAATAAGAAGAAGAGACTTGCTTGGGCCAAGAAACACGAGCAATGGACATTAGACCGGTGGAAATTTGTCCTTTGGTCTGGAGTCCAAATTTGAGATTTTTGGTTCCAACCACCGTGTCTTTGTGAGATGCGGTGTGGGTGAACGGATGATCTCCACATGTGTATTTCCCACCGTAAAGCATGGAGGAGGAGGTGTGGTGGTGCTTTGCTGGTGACACTGTCTGTGATTTATTTAGAATTCAAGGCACACTTAACCAACATGGCTACCACAGCATTCTGCAGCGATACGCCATCCCATCTGGTTTGGGCTTAGTGGGATTATCATTTGTTTTTCAACAGGACAATGACCCAACACTATTTAAGGGCCAGATGACCTAGCCTCCACAATCCCCCGACTTCAACCAAATTGAGATGGTTTGGGATGAGTCGGACCGCAGAGTGAAGGAAAAGCAGCCAACAAGTGCTCAGCATATGTGGGAACTCCTTCAAGACTGTTGGAAAAGCATTCCAGGTGAAGCTGGTTGAGAGAATGCCAAGAGTGTGCAAAGCTGTCATCAAGGCAAAGGGTGGCTATTTTAAGAATCTCAAATATAATATATTTTTTTGATTTTTTTGATTCCATATGTGTTATTTCACTACGGGTCAAAAGTTTTAGAACACCTACTCATTCAAGGGTTTTTCTTTATTTTTACTATTTTACAATGTAGAAAATAGTAAAAATAAAGAAAAACACTTGAAGGAGTAAGTGTTCTAAAACTTTTGACCGGTAGTGTATTACTTACATGTAACCGATTGCAACTTTGGTTTTAGAAGTCTCCTAAATGCAGTTGATTAAGTTGCTGAGGTAGGGGTGAATCTGCCCATCACTTGTCCTCGACAGGCAGGTAACGAGGGTTGGGGAGTAACCGATTACATGTATGTAATCAGTTACATGTAATCAGATTACAAAAAAGAATAGCTGTAATCATTTCCGTTACTAGCAGAATTTTGTAATCAGATGAATCTATCAGTAATCAAATACATTTTGACACCTTTCTGTTTTCTCAATGACATTCAATTCAGCATTGAAAATATGCACAAATTTCAGTTTATTCAACCTGAGCAAGTCTGACCACAAGTCAGAGACCACTATGATGACACACCAAATGCGTTTGATGGATCCTTTTTGTCTTCTTCTAAGGCCTCTTAAGGGGGAAGTAATCCAAATGTAACGGAAAGCAATCAGATAAAGTTACTGAGTTTGGGTAATCAAAAAGTTACGTTAACGTTAACTAGTAACTGTAACGGATTACATTTAGAAAGTAACCTGCCCAACCCTGCAGGTAACCAGTCTCTGAAGTGGGACTTGAACAGGAAGACTACAGTCCAGGTGTGTGAGGGAAGCCTCTAGTGCTGGTGACTAGAGTAGTGGTAGAGCTGCCAACTCCTGATGTCACATGGTCCTTGGTGGTGGGGATTTGATCTATGTCTAATTCACTCTATCCATCAGTCTCTCCCTCTCATTCGTGAATTACTGTAAATAAAGTATAAAAATACCAAAATCTATTTAAAAAGAAGAAGAAAAGAACAGCCTTCGTGGTCTTATGATGCTGTCGTGATGTCATATTCACATCTGGCTATGATCTTATTCTGTGGTAAAGTCATAAGTTATGTCCCAGCAGCCTCCACAATCCTATGTGGTGGTGCTGTGGTGATGTCACATGGGCTAAGTAAGCTTCCAGACTCCATGGTTCTCTGCGGTGAAGTCAACGGTTGTGGCTCTCGACTGCAGTGCTTGCAGCTGCTCCAGGCTGTCCTGCAGCTGGTGGGCACAGCCGGCCAGGTCCATGTAGCGCAGAGCAGAGTAGACATCCCCCAGGCCTGCAGCCGGGCCCTGGCTCCACAGCCTCAGCATTTGGTACTGCCTTTCCATGGAGCCTATGCCTGGCTCCAGCTCCACACGCTCCAGCTGCCGGTCGGGCACGGAGAGCAGACGCAGGAACTCCTTCCAGCGCCGCAGAGGCACCTCCTTGATGATGGCGTACAACACCGTGGCGGGCCAGCGCTCCTCCTGGGTATTCTGTCGAGGGACTGAGGAAGAGAGGGGAAAGGCCGGGAAGAAAGACATTATTGTAGTGTTCAGGTGAGCAAAGATGCAATAGATTGTGTGGTGAAAATTAAATCAAAACTGGTATCAGGCCATTATGGTATGAGGAAACATTATTGTTCGACTGAGGAACAGAGGAAAAGGGGAGGGAGGCAATCCGAAAGGTAATAGGTGAGAGAGATTCTTGAAAAATGTGTAAAAGTGAGCATATACACTGCCTATAGAAAGTCTACACCCCCTTGAACTTTTTTTCACATAAATATTTGTTGCCTTACAAAGTGGGATTGAAATAGATTTAATTGTGATTTTTTTTGTCATTGATCTACACAAAATACTCCATGTCAAAGTGAAATTAAAATTCTACATATTTTTTACTAATGAATGAAAATTAAATAATTTAAATATAGTAGTTGTATGAGTATTCACCCCCTTTGTTTAGCCACTTAAATGTAGGGTCCTCAATCAATGTTATATTCATTTTTCGTCTAAAATGAGAATGGTAGCCCCTATCCATGAATACATGGTGTCACCTGAAAGCTGGTACCATACAATATTTGGTGCGATTTAGTACCCTATATGATACTTATGTCATGCAATAAAATGCAAATTAATTACTTAAAAATCATAAAATGTGATTTTCTGGATTTTGTTTTAGATTCCGTCTCTCACAGTTGAAGTGTACGTATGATAAAAATGACAGACCTCTACATGCTTTGTAAGTAGGAAAACCTGCAAAATCGGCAGTGTATCAAATACTTGTTCTCCCCACTGTATGTGTTATTTCATTGTTATGATGTCTTCACTATTATTCTACAATGTAAAAAACTGTACAAAAAAATAAAGATAAACCCTTGAATGAGTAGGTGTTCTAAAACTTTTGACCAGTAGTGTAAGTATTCAGACCCTTTGCTATGATACTCTAAATTGAGCTCAGGCGCATCCTGTTTCCATTGATCATCCTTGATCTGTTTCTACAACTTGATTAGAGTCCACCTGTGGTAAATCCAATTGATTGGACATGATTTGGAAAGGCACACACCTGTCTATATAAGGTCCCACAGTTGTCAGAGCAAAAACAAGCCATGAGGTCAAAGGTGTCGTCCATAGAACTCCGAGCCAGGATTGTGTCGAGGCACAGATCTGGGGCAGGGTAAAAAAAAAAAATCTGCAGCATTGAAGGTCCCCATGAACCCAGTGACCTCCATCATTCTTAAATGGAAGAAGTTTGGAACCACCAAGAATCTTGCTAAAGCTGGCCGCCCAGCCCAACTGAGCCATCAGGGAAGAAGGGCCTTGGTCAAGGAGGTGACCAAATACCTGATGGTCACTCTGACAGAGCTCCAGAGTTCCTCTGTGGAGATGGGAGAACCTTCCAGAAGGACAAGCATCTCTGCAGCACTCCACCAATCAGGCCTTCATGGTATAGTGGCCAGACGGAAGCCACTCCTCAGTAAAAGGCACATGACAGCCAACTTAGAGTTTGCCAAAAGGCACCTAAAGGACTCTGACAATGAGAAACAAGATTCTCTGGTCTGATGAAACCAAGATTGAACTCTTTGGCCTGAATGCCAAGCGTCACGTCTGGAGGAAACCTGACACCATCCCTACGGTGAAGCATGGTGGTGGCAGCATCATGCTGTGGGGATGTTTTTCAGCGGCAGGGACTGGGAGACTAGTCAGGATCGAGGGAAAGATGAATGGAGCAAAGTACAGAAAGATCCTTGATAAAAAGCTGCTCCAGAGCCCTCAGGACCTCAGACTGGGGCAAAGGTTCACATTACAATAGGACAACGATCCCAAGTACACAGCCAAGACAACGCAGGAGTGGCTTCGGGACAAGTCTCTGAATGTCCTTGACTGGCCCAGCCAGAGCCCGGACTTGAACCCGATCGAGCATCTCTGGAGAGACCTGAAAATAGCTGTGCAGCGACGCGCCCCATCCAACCTGACAGAGCTTGAGAGGATCTGCAGAGAAGAATGGGAGAAACTCCCCAAAAACAGGTGTGTCAAGCTTGTAGCGTCATACCCAAGAAGACTCGAGGCTGTAATCGCTGCCAAAGGTGCTTCAACAAAGTACTGAGTAAAGGGTCTGAATACTTATGTAAATGTGATATTACAGTTTATTTTTTTAAATAAATTTGCAAACATTTCTAAAACCTTTTTTGATTTGTCATTATGGGGTATTGTGTGTAGATTGAGGAGGGGAAAAAACATTTAATCCATTTTAGAATAAGGCTGTAACGTAACAAAGTGTGGAAAAAGTCAAGAGGTCTGAATACTGCTTCTTTTTGTTTTGTATTTACAGTATAGAGGTGTCCTGTCCTGTGTAGCCTGTGTATCATTCCAAAGTAGTTACATATTGTATATATTTCACATTAGTTTGCTGGTAAAAGTTGGATATGGAGGCCACCAAATTCTTTGTCTCTAAAGGTAGGCTACCTGTGTCCCACTGTTTGCATTGTATAGGCTAGTATATTTATTTTACATTACAGAAATGTAGTTTTGTTATAGTTGTGGTCAGTTTTTTTGTGTTTTGGACTGTATGTATAGCTTACACCCAGTGTAGGCCTGTGTAACTGTGTCCTGTTTGTGCAATATATCAAGTTAGTTTTCCACCTGGAGGCAGGGGCATAGGCATGGGTGGAAACAGGCCCACCCTACCAGATTAAGCAAAAAAATAAAAAAGGAACACATTATTGCTACAAAAATATTCCTCAGCAACCACCAGCATCGGTGTAGTAATAATGTGTTATTTTTTTGTTTTTGCTTAATCTGGTAGGGTGGAACTGGCAGGGATAGGATCCCACCAGTGGCCCAACCAAATTTGTGCAGGCCCACCCACCAACGAATTTCTGCCTACACCCCTGCTAGGAGGCCATCAAATTCTTGTGGCCATTGCTCCTTTGTCTCTAATGTGTCCCACTGTTTGCATTGTGTGTGTGTGTTTTACACCTCTATGTGAGGCACTCTCCAGACAGTGTCCAAATAATCTTATTCATTATGATCTAAAAAGAAAAACGCTCCTAGTTCAGCACTCCTACTCTGAGATGCTTTGTGGACAGAGGTGAGCTTGCTGCTCTCTCTCACCTGGCCAGTTGTGAAGGGCCAGTTTACAATATCCCTGGCCCGCTATGTCCAGTGGGGGAAGGGAACCTACTGAAGTTTACAGAGTTTACTCTGAGAGAAGGCTGTGAGATGATGTGCTACAAGTCACCAGCAGGCAATTTTAATAAAGTTTAGGATGGGTGTTATCTTTTAGTATATTGTTTTTACATTACAGTAATGTAGTTTTGTAAAATTAGTCAACTGTAATGATGTGTATCTTACAACAATATTGATCCCTTTATTTTATTCCCCACAGAGAGGATGATGACGTTTGGGAGCAAACCGCCCCCCAGCAAGTGCCCCCGCCGTTCAAGGTCTTCACCCTCCACTGCCAGATCCACAACCCCCACTGCTGTCTCTACTGGTGGTTCAAGCTCCACCACTCCACAAAGGCCCCACTCCTTTTCCACTACCCCCACTGCAGGCCCTGGCTCCACTCCCCTTTCAGCCAGTTCAACTAGAGGTGTAGGGGCAGGGAGGACACCTAGGCCTCAACAGAGAAGAGGGAGGAGCAGAGGGAGGGGCACTGGAACCAGCACAACAGAGGGAGATGAACCTGAGGACAGATGGCATACAGTCTTTGAAGATGATGTGGACCCAGCACTACCCAGGCTGAGACCCAAACGACTTGTTGGCCCACCGTTGGACAGTCCTCAAACATACACCTCCTTCCAGCTGTTTCTGCTCTACTTCATCACCTCTGTGCTGGGGACACTAGTTTCCAATACCAATAAGTATGGGGACAAGAAGCAGCAGGGGGAGAAGAAGATGAACTGGAAACATGTCAGCATGGGCAACATGCTCTCATACATTTCCCTGGTGATGTACTGACTGGCGAAGGTATCAAGACTAGTTGACTAGTGGAGCAAGTCCCCGCTCTACCGAATCAAGTTCCCCGCCACCATCATGAGTGAAAACCGTTTCTTGGCCATCAACCGTACTCTTCACATGAGTGACACACAGAATGATGAGGAGAATGACAAGAAGAAGGGGACTGCAGGGTATGATCATCTCGCAAGAGTCAAGCCTGGTTACATTTATAATGTATAACAGTTTTCATTATTTTTCGTGCAAATAGTTCTTATTAATGTGGGACCAATACCTTTTAGGCTTATTCAAATGTGTAATAGCAGTGGAATTACCCACTTTGGAGTGGTTGAAAGGACACTTGGATGTCCCCTGACACCACCACAATGTTTGAGAGAGGTTGACATTTTAGAAATAGTATTTTTATTAGGGCTGACCCCAATTAGTCGACTGGTAGATTGTTTGGTCGATAGGCTGTTGGTCGACAATACTATTTTTTTTGTCGACCAGTAACAAATATATATATATATATTTTATGGCACACGAGACACCTGTCTTATTCACGCCCATCTCAGTGAACTAATCCATTGCGGAGGCCGCGGGGATGGCACAGTCCAAGGAGAAGGGGAGTGTGTCTAAGATGCACAATGCACGTCTCTCTCCAGAATGAATTCTCTTCCGCCAATTGTGCACATTCATTGTTTCATTGTGTGATTGGTTTGCGTTTGATTGTTAGTGTCAATCAATTCCCCATTACATATATCACCAATAGTACATTTACCATTCATTCATATAATTTCTAATCTACAATGTTTGTTTGGTTACGGTAATTTCTGTTCATGCATTCAATATAATATTATTTCAGTCTTTTACCGTTCTCATTGTCAGAGTGGACACGTTGTTTGCAGAGCGCACAACCTATGCTACACTTGTGAGAAACAAGTTTTGGTTCATTTCATTCCATTTACGAGTTTTGTCAATTTAGTCATTATTTTTTGTTTGGAGCGCTCCTGTCAATGTTGAGTAAGGATGCACACATGATTACGCATAGAAGTAGGCCAATAGGCTACCTGGCCTGCACACAAATGTAGGCATATAAATGTGTTCAT